CGCCGCTGACACCCCCGGACACGCCTGCAGCTGGAGCCGGGAGCCCAGCGCCGCGCGGCGGCCCGGCCCCGCCATGTGGCCCATGTGCTTCGCATGACCCGGGTCTTCTCCACTGGGCACCGTGCGCCGCAGGCCCGGCCTGCGCCCCTTGCTTCTCCCGGGCTGGAGGGAGCTGCAGTAAGCAGCGCCCGGCGGTCAGGACAGAGGACCGGCTCTCACGCGCTGACCATCCGTGAGGGCGCAGACCTGCGCCTGGACCGTGCAGGTGGGGCAGGGCAGCTGGCACATCACAGGCCTTGCCTGCAGCCCGAGGCCAGCCACAGGCCACCACAATGCCGCCCACTGGCCACCGAGCGCGCCCTGCCTGTTTGTTCATGGGCCGAATGGTGTCCCGGCACCCCCGTTTTGATGTATGGAGGGAAGGTGCTGGGTCCCTTTGGCACGGACGACGGTGTTGCTCCTCAGGGGTGCATCCTTGACCTCAGCGTCCCCCCTCCATTCTCCTCTGGAGAGACCTTGTGGAAGGAGTGTTGTCCCCCCCCCTCCGGCCCCCCCAGAACATTCAGCTTTGTCCCTGTTCTTTGAAGGTGGCTGGTTGCCTGGGCAGGCCGCCTGGCCGGGGTCAGGGACTAGTGCCCCTGGGCCCCACGGGAGGACCCCTGCGTGGCACGGTGCTAGGCAGGGATTGGGTTCGTCCTCTCCGTAGCTGCGCCCAACAGGTGTGTTGGGGAGGGCAGTGGGCCTGGGGGCAAGTGGCCATGACTGAGCCCATGGGCATGCGCGCTGGGAGGTGGCCGAGGGTGAGGGGTGGGGACAGAGGGCGGCTTGCTCCGGCTTCAGGGGCGTGTGAGCATGGCCATGGGCACTTGGGGTCACTGACTTTTCTGGTTCTAGACTGGACCAAGACTGCAGGGGGCAGGGGCCTGCTGCCCGCTGAGGATGGGCTGGCACGCCCCCTCACTTGGCCAGGCCACGTCTGCCAGCCCAGCCGGAGAGGGGCAGGATGCCGCCAGCTTTTGTACCCCCCGAGCTGGCTGGGACGCGTGTGGCCGTGGCTCTTGTGCTGGTGTCGGGGCTTGGAACTGGGATTTGGGGAAGGAATGCGGGGCGGCCTGGGGTGGGGGCAGGCGCCGCGCCGTGCTCTGCTCCTGGAGCAGTGAGGCTCCCGGAAGCCTGTGCAGCCTCTGCCTGCCGCCCCCTTCGCCCGCAGCGGCCTTTCCTTCCGTCTCCTCACGCTCACTGTTGCCCAGCCTGGAGCACTTCTGGTTGGGTCACTGCAGGAATCCCCGCTCCAGCCCCTGCATGCGTCGCTTTCACTCGGTGCCGGGGTGTCTTGGTGCCCCTGGCAGCGTGGCCGCCTGCTGCTTGTCTTGGGCGTGGCCGTGCGCCACGAACCAGCCTGCTTGCTGGTCAGCAGCAAGGGCTGCATGCAGCCCGGCTGTACCTGGACTTGCTGGACTGTGAGGAGTGCGCTTCTTGTCTGCTACTCACGTCTCTTGTTCCCAGTGAACTATTTTTTTAAGAATTAGTTATTTATGCACACAGAACTGGGGTACAGGCCAGAGGTGTGGGGGCTGAGAGAATCCACCAGAGCCAGAGTGGGGAGCAGAACAGGCAGGTGGATGAACTACACTGCGGAGGGAGCAGTGGGGAGACAAGCGAGGTCTGCTGCGCCCTGGGGGACCCTCGCTGGCCGGGGGTGAAGCAGCTGTGGCCAGCTTCATAAAGGAGAAAGTGGGTGCCTGTCGGCAGTGCTCTTAGCGCGGGTGGGGACAGGCCTCCGGTGTCTTGAGGACTCTGGTAGCTTGCGCCCAGACGCGGGCCTGGTGATGAGTCTGAGCGGCCGCTTGGTGTAAGACAAGCCCCTCGATGTCACTAACATGGTCTCGCGCACTGAGGTGCTGTAGCCTCTGCCCTGCCAGGCGCTGGCGGTCGGTCCTTGGCGGTGGGAGCTGGGCACACACAGCCGCTCTGCTGGGCACTCTGCTCGGGACGCGGCCGGGCCTGACTGGGAGCCCAGACTATGAGTTTGCTTCGGGAATTCTCTCCAGATAGCCGCACGCAGCCTCCATTTGTATTTGAAAAATTTGCTGTCCGCAGGGTGGCCGTGACCGGGAACGAATGAGCGGGGTTTCGGAGATGACAGGGACCCCGGGAGCCGAGTCCCAGCAGCTGACTGGGCCGTCTCCATCACCGTAACGCAGCGAGGGCCTGGCGGGCGCTGCCCAGTGTGGGCCGGCAGAGCCGCACGACACTTCCCGCAGCCCGGCATACCCTGGCGGTTCTTCTGGGCCTGTGGCCTGTGAAGTTTTTGCCTGGGCTGCTGGCCTTCTGGGGGGAAATGAAAACAGAAACAGTTTTTTAAAAGCTTTTTTATGGAAACAGAGTAACAACTGGCTGTCCTTTGATATAAAATACTAAATGTAGCAATGCAGCTCCCTGCGGCCAGTCTTTTGAAACACTAAGCCCCATCTCCCAAGCAAAACCTGAGGTGCGTGGGCCGCCTCCCCGCAGCCTCCCGCCCGCCCTCCCTCCCTGAGGGTCACTGAGGAGAGGGTCACTGAGAAGCCCCCCACTGTAGCGCCCAGGGGCGTGTGCCAGACAAAGAGGCGCCAGCACTCGCGGGCCTTCCGGAAGGTGGCTGTCCGGTCTTGACGGGGGTCAGCACCGCGCTCCTCGTGCCCAGTCGAGCCACACCCTCGGGGGTGTGCCCGCGCCACTGTTGCTGGCATGCGGTGTCTCAGCGGCCCTGTGGGCGTCCGTGGGCTCCCCCACCCTCGCCTGTCAGAGAAGTCACTGCGGGCCAGATGGATGGAGGCAGTCGCGTGACTTTGGGGTGTGTTTTAAGACAGAGGGATGGGCCCTGGGCCTTTGCCCTAGGTCGTCCTGGAGTGCAGGAGGCGTGGTGGATTGAATGGGCAGCAGTGGGTCGGAGGACAGGAGTGTGTTGCTGTGGGGCTCCCGGTCTGGCGGGAGACTTGGAAAAATGAGAAGCAGCATGAGGATGGTGCACTGCAGATGGGCAGGGAGAGCGGAGCGCGGGGGACACTTTCGTGAAAACGGACTGTCAGAGCGGCCATTTCAGGCCTCTGAGCCAGGCAGAGGCTTTACTTCCTAGTGTCCGTTTCCTCCCATTGCAGTGTACTTCTTCCATGCACAGAATCTGTTGTATTGAAACCTCAAGCATAATTTATCGTCTTAACAAAATCCGTCTCAGCCCTAGGCTTCTGGAGCAGAGGTGATCTTTTCAGCTCGGAGTGGAATGTGGTAACGTGGTTTTGGACAGGAGAGAGGTTGTGCAGATTCTGTCTGCAAGAGCATAAAATACCAGCTCTTTATGCAGCGTGAAAAACTGTTGGGAGCTAATAATTTGGTCCCTTCCTGGAGAGCTGAGACCGGGTAGAGCACATGTCTCACTGGTATAGAACTTAGCTGGCAACAGTTTGCGCTTCCGAGTGTTGTGACTGCGGCGGGAGCCCTGTTACAGAGGAAGCGTTCGTGCTTGTGAAACCAGAAGTTCGTGGACTTGAGAAAGGGGGCGAAAAGCGCCCGCCAAGAAGCGTCTTTCTTCACCCAGCGGATTTTCAAGCTCATCCCGTGTGCCCACGCCGTGTGTGCTCACGTCGGTACCCGTCGCGGCGCGAGTGCCGGCTGCTGCCGGGGCACTTGCCGTAATGTAAAGGTCTTTCCCCGCTGGTTTTGAACACTCGCTCTACATTGAAGAGCAGCTTAAGGCCACCGCCAGGTTGAGCCCAGCATAGGGTTCCGTGGCCCCACGGCAGCCCCCACGCCGAGGCGCTCCGAGCGTAACCGCGGTGCGTCAGGCTCAGGGTGGCGTGGGCGGCCTCAGGCTGCCTGCCAGCTGCATGCGCCCCTCCGGCCTCGGGGCCACCGCTTTGCCTTTTCCAGGATGTCACCTGACCAGTGGTGTGGGCGTCGCCTGTGCACACTGGCCTTTTGAAGCTTAAGGACGCGCGTTTAGGACCCCGCCGCCACCTCTGACCTCCACGCCCCAGCTCGGGGAAGGCCACAGTGTTCTGCCAGCGGCCACGAGTGGCCGGGTCAGCTGGCCGGGGCCACCTGGCCGCTCCGGGTTTGAGGACGTGCGTGAAGCCACGGCTGAGCGTGCAGCGGTGGCTTGTGCCTGCGCCCGACCCCACAGGTGGAAGGGGCGTCGTGGGCTGCGTGGGTGCCTGGCTCGGCTTGGTGAGGAGCCGCAGCTTGTCTCAGAGGCCGCACCGCTTCGTGTCTCCTGGCGGCAGCCGTGTGCCTGGCCTGACACGGCGGCAGCGGGCTCTGGTCCTGGGGCGCCCTGACGCCTTGCATTGGGGCGCTGTCCTTCCTGTGCATCCCGAGCCTCCCGACATGTCGCTGGGGGCCTGCTTGCGGAGGCAAGCAGTCCTTTGTGCATTTTGAAGGGGGGGCCTCCATCCGAGAGGCACTGTGGAGCCCCAGCGGCGGCTGCGCCCCGTGTTTCTGGGGCCCCTCCAGCTGCTGCTCCACCCCCGTTGCCAAGGGAGGAGGATTGGCCCAGGCACCCCAGGTCTCTGGCCGAGCCCTGGGCGCAGGCTTCTGCCAGGCAGTGTTTCCCGGAGGGAGCTTCGCTGGTCTTTCTCCTGGGCTCCCAGTGGATGAGGGCAGCGAGTACGGACGGTCACTGTCCAGAGAATGAAGGGGATCCTGTCCCACAGGAGGCTTGTGTGTTTCCTGGCTGGCCACCGAATCCAGCATCCACAGAAGGTTTGGGACCTCCACGAGCCCCTGCTGTGCTGCAGGCCGTGGCTGCCCTTGCTCTTCAGCCCGTGTGACACTGAGGCTCCGTTTCGGAGAGACTGAAAGCGCCTGTTCCTGCCGCCACCGAACTTGCTGTCTTTACCTTTGCTGGTGCTGCGCGTTTGCTTTCTGAGAAAGGCCATTTCTAGAGCACCTTTTTTTCTTTCTGCCTTACAAGTTCCACTTGGGAAGATGGGAACTGTCTGCGGGGGCGCGGGTGGGGCGGCAGCGGCCACCACGCCAGTGTCACATGGGGAGACAAAGTGTTCAGCTCTCCCTAGTTCTCCCAGTGGACATTGTCTGATTTATTGATTTTTTTTGACCTTCCATTTACATTTTTGTTACTGATTTTGATTAAACATTTGAAATACAGACTAGAAAAGTAGATGGATCAATGATAAAAAGTGTATGCTGTGGGCCCTCCCCGGGAGCCAGGGGGTGAAAGCGCAGCACCAAAAAGCCAAAGCCGCTTCCGCAGGAGTTCGATCCCCGCCTGCCCCGGAGGTGACCCCAGGGCGCAGCAGACCTGTCCTGTCTCCCCGCTGCCCCCCTCAGCAGTGTTCTCAGCAGTCGGCCTGCTCTGCTCCCCACTCTGTCTCTGGAGAATCCTCTCAGTGCCTCTGCACCTCTGGCCTGCACCCCAGTTCTGTGTGCATAAATAAATCTTTTTTAAAAAAAAGTGTATGTGGTGTTTCTGAGACGCCAGATCTTTTTTTTTTTTTCCATTTCTTGAAAGTGAGGATTTATTTGTAAAATTGACTCTGTGCTTTATGCCCACGGTTTCAATTCCCTGGAGATAAGCACGCATGTTGGCACAGGAGCACCCCACTCCGCGTAGTGCTTTCATGGGCGCAGCGGTGTGGTGACGTGCAGGGCCCGGCGGAGGCCTTCCCGGCGCCCTCAGCCCTCACACCCTCATGACTGCCGGCTTCGTGTGTTCTGGCGCGCCGGTCCGGGACCGAGCACAAGCGTGGTGTAGGTCCTGTAGCTACTCAATTCGAATAGAATTCCTTTCCTTTTTTTAAGATGTATTTATCAGGCCAGAGGTGCGGGGGTGAGAGGGTTCCCCAGAGACAGAGGGCGGCCTGGGAGGGCGTGCCGGCCGGCGGGGGGTGGCGTGTGGCTTTGCAGGCGTCTCTCCGGGCTGACCGAAGCTCGGGCGCTCATTTGCTGCCCTCTGTGCAGGTTGCCTGACCTGCGCGTCCGTCAAATCGGACAGGTCCATGTGGTCCAGAGCTGCTAGTGGGCAGACTGCAGTTGATTTGTTCTGCAATGGAGTCGCTTTTCCCTTTCACCATTGTTGGCTTCTTAATTTATGTTTAAGTTAAGCCCATATCACATTGATCTTTCATGCGCTGATCACCTCTAAGAGAGAGAGAGCGGCTTAAGATTCTGATTTTCTCAGCAGCAGTTCGAGAGGTCGCTTGCTCCCGAGGAAGGTACCTGTGTGTCCAGGCGGGGCCAGGCCCGGTTTGGGTGTGAACACACCCTCCCCGTGCCTCCCTCCCTGGAGATGCCAGGGGCAGAGAAAGCACTTTTCTGGAGGGAACACGGTGGCCGGCTACTGAGAGAAGTGAGAGGGCCTGTTGGGACCTCTGCTGGGCCCCCTGGTGAGGACAGTCCCGCCAGGCTGGGACAGGCCGAGCAGGTCCAGCTGCGTGACTAGTCGCCCCCCTTTTGTGAGCACAGATGATGTGGAGAGAGCGCAGGTGTTGTTAATATTAATTACCTCGGGGACGGGGGAGCTTATTAACTTCCTCTTTATACATCTTTTATTGTTTGGCTTGTTTTAAAAGGCATGTTTTACTTTTTTAATTAAAAAATCTAATAAAGTAGGAAATGAATAAATAATAATAATAAAACTACCCCAGGGCACTGAGCTCTGTTTCAGTCTTCCCGGTAGCCTTCCAGCTGACGGGACATTTCAGGTGTGGCCGGGGCCGGGGCCCGGCGTCGCCGCGGTGGCTTCCGAGCTGGCTCCGCTGGCCTGGTCTCCTGGCAGCTGCTGCTCTCGCACTCGCCTGCCGGCTGGCGCTGCCCCTCCTCCCTGGTCGAGTCCATCTTGCTAGTGGACCCGGTCTGGCCTTGGTGAAGAAGTGGCCTGTCCTCCCTGCTGGTGCGAGGGTGGGAGCGCAGCTCTGCAGGTGCCCCCAGGGCGCGGCATTCCCCTCCTGTCTCCTCCTGCCCCTCAGCAGCGTGCTTCACCCGTCGGCCTGTTCTGCTCCCCGCTCTGTCTCTGGGGAATCCTTTCACTGCCCCCAGCACCTCCGGCCTGCACCCCAGTTCTGTGTGCATAAATAAATAAACCTTAGAAAAGAGAGAGAAGTAGCCTTGGGTCCAGGCCTTGCCTGGCTATCGATCATAACTGCTAACTGGCCGGCAGAAGGACGAGGCGCTGCCTGTCCACCATGAGCTGCCCCGCCGGCCTCACGGCTGTGAGGGCGTCAGCCAGTGCTCCCCCGGCCCGCCGCTGGCCTCCCTCTCCTGCCCGTGTGTGGGGTCTGGGAGTCGCTGGGGAATTCTCACCTGATCCCCCTCATCCCGGTCTCTTTCCACAGGGCCCTTCACCGATGTCGTCACCACCAACCTGAAGCTGGGCAACCCGACAGAGCGGAACGTGTGCTTCAAGGTGAAGACCACGGCGCCGCGCAGGTACTGCGTGCGGCCCAACAGCGGGGTCATTGACGCCGGGGCCTCCATCAACGTGTCCGGTAAGTCCCGAGGCGGCGGGGGTGCTTGCGGCCGCACTGGGGCTCCGGCAGAGCGAGGGGGTGGGCCCTCCGGGCGCCGGGGGGCCATCGGGGCTCCCCTGTTGCTCCTCCATAGTTCCCGCCTCTTGGGTTTAGCTCACAGCCTTCGCGCCCCAGTAGCTAGAGCTGTTAGAGCGGTGGCTCCAGACTTTCCTTCAGAACGAGTCTGGTTCCACTCCCGCACAATGAAATCTGCCCTTTGGCCATAAATAAAAAAGGGCTAAACACTTAACTTTGCGTTGTGGGAGGGTGCTGAGTGGAGTTGTTTCTGTACTCAAGCTGAGCGACTTCTGACCGAGCTCACCGTCGCCAGTAACCTGCGAGTGGAGGCCTTGGGCCGAGGAGACGGGGTGTCTGGGGAGGACGTGTCCCCCTTCTCTGTGAGAGCGAACATGTGTCCCGCGTCCAGCCTCTGAAAAGACTGACCAAGTGCCCCCGGTGCAGATTGGGTTTCAGGGCGCTGGCGGAGGCGGCTCAAGCCAGCCTGCGGTTCTCGGGCGGAGTCGACCCGGGGTGTGTCAGCCCTGGCGCCGCCCTGCGGCCGCGCCCCTGAGGCTGCTGCTTCGAGGCCCCGGCTGGCTTTCCCGGGGCGGATTGGCCGTGTCCGTCTGGCTGTGTGTGACACCCAAAGGAGAACGAGTCGCCCTTGGGAGGACTCGAGGGGCTTCGTCACCTGATCCTGCCTGGTCTCCCGACTGCGCCCCGCGCCGCTGTCTCCCTGTGCGCTTCTCTCTGCACCGGTCTCTGGGATCGCCGGTGGTCTGGGGAGTCGGGGGCAGCCAGCCTCATCGCAGGTCCCCACGCTGGGCCAGTGTCCCAGCGCCACGCGTGACTTCTCTTGGGGGCTCTGTGCTGACTGGCCCAGGGGGGAGCCGCGTGCACCCCGAAGCCGGGGTTGATCTGCGCGACTGCCAGTGAGAAGCAGCTTGTGTCTTTAGTTTTAATCAGGAATTCTTGTGTTTCTTCTTTCTACAGAGTGCAATTGTTTATAGTGAAGCACTGCTAGTCAACTTTTAAATATAATCTGCAAAATGGCAGCTTTTGCATCAAAACACCTCCGCCCCGCCCGCCAAGTGGTGTCCCCGCGGCTGCCACATGTTTCTCCCCGTTTCTGAAACCCTCAGGCCGGGCGGTGCTGCTGCTCCAGGGGGTCTTGAGTCGGCCTGGGGGGCTGGGCGGGGGCGGGCAGCAGGGGCCTTGCTCTGCAGCGGCAGTCCGGGCCCCACCCAAAGATGGCAGATCACTCCAGGCGTAAAGTCGGTGGCAGTGTCACCGCAGCTGCCAGTCGCGGGCGTGTGTGGCTCCCCAAGGGTGCAGGAACCTGGGCGCCAGCCGCCGCCTGCTCTTCCCTTGTCCTTGGGCCTGGGGCTCGCTCCCGTGTCCCCTCTCGGCCGGGGTCGTGGTCCACGCCCTGGCCTGCCCCCAGTACTCGCCATCTACCAGAGGTGGCTGTAGACTGCTCTGGCCAGGCCTCCCCAAAACAGGCTCCGTTCGAGGAGACGGGTGGGCAGCGCGGGGCTCCCTGGGCTTGTAAGGGGGAGGCGGGTGGGGGTTGTGGATTCGCGAAGTGGTAGAGGGGGCCCCCACTTGCTCCAGCTCTGCAAATTAAATCTGCTTTGTGAACTGTCTGGGGGATCAATATTTTTAAGTTAGGTAATTTCTGAAGCTGTCTTTGTGGTGAGCTCTTAGTGGTTATGGATTTTTTTTAATACTTCAGTTTAATAATGAGGGAGTTTTCCATTAATATTCCAAACCATGTTTGCAAGCGGATACAGCAGGTGAGGTGGTAAAATTATGGGCCCATCAAAACTACTTAGGCTTCCTGTAACACGGTATTAAGTTGAATATTTTTATAGCCCTCGCTGAATTCTAATTCCATGAGGATAGCAGGCGCCCTTCCGTTTGCAGTCCAGCTACGCCCGCCAGTGGCCTGCCTGCCGGGCAAACCAGAAGCGTGGGCTCTCGGGTGCGCGGGGGGCTGGGAGGCGGCGCGGAGGCCAGGGTCAGGTGCAGGCACACTGGGCCAGGCGTGCCCTGAGAGCCAGGGTGGCGTGAGGACACTCCGCGCCTGCTGCGTCCAAGTCCATGTTTCAGGTTTCAGATGTGAAGCGTCACAGTGCAGCCTTCAAGCGGCAGTTCGTTCCTTCCAGCACTTATTTTACTTCAGTCCCATTTGGAGCATAAAATCTGAGAACAGAGGACTCTCGGGTGGGCACAGTGGCCAGTTAATGTAGCCAGTGGCACTGGGGGGGGCGCTTTCACGGGTGGCCTGGGCCAGCGCTTTGCCTGGCCTGAGGCTCTCCGGTGGCAGGAGAGTTGGGCGCCGCCCTCCGGCACCGGGAGCCCGGGCGTCTGTCTGTCGCCGGGGCTGGGGGTGGGAGCGCGGCTGGGGTCTGGCACCTGACAGCAGCTCGCCGTGGAGTCTCAGGCAGGCGAAGCCTCCTCGTGAACGGCTTTGACGAGCCGGCTTGCTGCGCTCAGATAAGAGCAGCGCACATTCAAACTTCAGAAGATGTCTGATCTTTCCACTGGCAGAGACGCTTGTTTTAAAAAAACATTACCAACAAAAACTCACCGTAATTGTGCTTTCAGAGAGCTTTTGAGTGGATAGTAACATTTGTCCGACGATCCCGTTTCACTTTTCATAAATACGACACGATTTAGCCTTTGTCTGCAGAGACTGGCCAGGAGGCCTCAGTGCGCGTGGCCTTCCTGTCACTGCCTGCTCGAGTCCTCTCTCACTGTCCCGCACCTGCCTCGGGTTGCCATGGCCTGTCCTGGTGTCCAGCCCATCCCAGGAGGGAGGGAGGAGACTGTGGGGCGGCTGCAGTGACAGCCTGGGCAGGGCCCAGAGAGCGAGGTGAGGACCAGGGACACGCTTCCGGAAGCCTTGGGCAGCGGGTCTCCAGGGTCGAGGCCCTCGATCTGCGGGTCTGCCTGAGGGCGCGAGGCCTCCCCGCGGGCCGGTCTCCACACTGAAGTGGGGCAGGGAGCGGCGTGTGCCGGTGTTTGAAAAACATATAAGGAGGAAGCTTTGTTCTGTGGCCAGTGCCTGTAAATGGAACACCTGCCCTGATGTGGCAGCGGGGTGCCCTGCACAGGCTGACAGCGGCACTGGGAGGGACCGTGGGCGCCGCCTCTCCAGGTGTAGCCCTCCGGGAAGGTGGTCCGAGGCCCCCGGCCCGCGTTGGTAGCCGGGAGGGCTCACGCGCACTGACCGGTCAGCGCCTCCCTCGCCCAGAGGAGCTGGTCTCGTGGCTCGGCCCCGGCAGGCGTGGTGGGAACCCAGAGCGCCGAGCCGGGGGCCACACTGGAAGAGGAGACTGGGGGACAGGCTCGTGCGCAGGGGGTTGGCGGGCAGCGTGACGTGGGGGTCCTGTTGTTGCCAATCCCTCGAATCCCAGCGGACCCAGGCCGCGACAGTGAACTGACGGCTTCCACCGGGCAGGTGGGCGGCGGCGGTGGGGGAGGCCGCGATGGGAGCGGTGCTTCAGGGGGTGCCTGTATGGGCCTGGCTCTCCGGGGTCACTGGGTTGGGTGGGAGGCGGGGCGGGCGCCCCGCAGCGCTGACGTCTGGTGCAGCCGAGAGGCCTGGGAGATAAAGTCAGAGACTCAGCACACTGGCGGGCGCGGCGGGGATGCGGAGGAGGCCGGCTGTGGCGGCGCCCGCGGGCATCTGCATGGCTTGATCGGCTCCTCGTTCCCGGAGGTGGGCTCTGGTAACGGCCACCTGCGTCCGAGAGACGCTGCTGGGCCCGGCGCCGCTTCCCGGCCTCCCGGCCGCCTCCCGGTAACAGGCTGCTGCTTAACGGAGGAGCAGCAAATACATCCTAGAAGTAGGATGGATGGCTCACTTAAGAGGTACTATCAGCTATCTCTGGTATGCAAGTGAAATAAATTTAGTTAATGGGAAGCTCTTTTATAGCCTGTCATGGAGAAAAGCACATAATTTCTGTCACAATTTGCGTGTATGGAGCCGAAAGAGCGAACGATTAACAGCATTTATTCTGTCATGTGCTCATAAAGCCCCAGATAATAGGATAGAGCACGGTGCGTCTGACACGAGGTGACGGTGGCCGAGGAGCGCCCGCTCTCGGACATGACCCTGACACTCAGCAGGCCGAGGACCCACAGCGGCGAGGACTCGTGACGGCTTGGGTGGCAGCTGCCCAGCGCCTCACCCTTCTTGCTGGTTGAGAGCCGCTGGCCGCCGCCTTGTATTCCAGTTGCCACCTAAGGGGTTGGAGGGGCCCCGCCTTCTTGGCTCCTGGAGCGCTGTCCAGCCACCAGCCTCCTGTGGCTCCAGGGCCAGGCCTGAGTGTCACGAGCCAGGCACTGGTGGCATGTGCTGCCCTCCGGCTGTTTTGGGGCTCCTGCTGTGCCTGGACATCCCTCTGTCTGCTCTGTGGGCACGCATTTAAATTGGCGGGTCAGTGCCCCGGGCCAGCGGTTGTTCCGTGGCAGGATGCAGTGGGCCTCAGTGTTGTCCTGCAGATGTGGCCACGCAGCTGCAGGGTGGCCCGGCTGGACGAGCCCAGCTCCCTCCCTCTGAAGGTCACAGGCTGCTTTGTCCACTCGGGTCTGGGGTGTGCCTGAAAGCCCGAGGCTGGGACCCCAGGCTCGGTTTGTGGGAGCGGCGCCCTCCCAGGCCAGGCTGGAGTCCGTCCGGGCCTCTGCCCGCACGCAGGCCCTGCGCAGCAGCCTGGAGGGGACATGGCGCTCAGGCCTTCTGCTGGCCTGGAGAGACCCTCAGGTGCTGCCACTGGTGGGGCAGCAGCATCTGTGTTGCAGGTGTGCTGAGCCGGGAAGGCGCTCGTTCAGCACCCACACACAGTCCCCCGCCGGCAGCGCAGCTTTTCCAGTGAGAAACTGGGAGAGCGTGCGGAGAGCAGACCGACACCGCCAGCGCCCTCAGATCCCTGCTGTCCGGCCGGCGTCTCTGGCGGAGGCGGCTGGCCCCCAGCCCTGCTCCTCTCCCGCCCGCGCTGTGCGTGAGGGGCTGAGGGGCCGCACGGCCACGGGTGTGGGCGAGAAGAGAGGACTCGGAGCCTCAGTGGCCGTCACACAGCCTTCGGCTTCACGCGGAGCGTGGCCGGGCACTCTCGGGCCGGGTGGGCGGCTCCGGTGCTAGGTGCCCCTCAGGCGTCCCACATGCCGGCACGTGCATCACAGGGCACAGGAGAGCCCAGGCCTTGCTGCCCCCGCTGACCTCATGGCCGGCCGTGGGGGATTTGGGTCTCCATGGAGCCTTGATCACAGACGTAAGTTTTCGATCCTGCCTTTTTCTTGAGAGCCTGGATGTTTTCATTGGCAAAAACTGCTGCAAGTTGTTTTCCTTCAAATGTGTTTTTAGTTCATTTATTTTTGAACGTACCAGGCTGAGCGATGTGGTTTTCTGGCTGCTCACAGTGCGGCCGGCGGGCAGGCAGGGTTGGGGGGCAGGGTGCAGGGTGCGCACAGAACAGGGTCTTCCTCCCCCGCGGGCCGTTGGGCCCATGGCTGTCGCCCGCCCAGGGTACCTGGAAGCCTGAGCCGGTCGGTGCCAGCCTCGCGCAGTCAGACGGGGGGAGGGCACGCGGTGGGCACCTTTCCTGTGCGGAAGCGGCCGGCAGAAGGGCGCCGGGCCTCCTGCCCAGCGCATGGCGGCCTTGCGCGAGCGCCTCGCCGGTGGCCCTTCTTTTGTGCGGGAGGATCTGGCCGTGCCTGCGTCGGCTCTGGGCGCTGGACGGTGAGGCTCGGGGAGGCTCCCGGCTGGCAGCGGAGACGGCAAGCTGCCGGTTCTGTGAGCGGGCACCCTGTGGCGGACTCCTAGCCGTCCCGCAGCCTTCCCGGGTCACACGGCGGGGCCGGGACGCCCCGGAATCATGGGAGTGGGCTCTGACCTCGGCCTTCGGAAATGACACGTGCAGTTTTGTTTGAAAGACAGAGAAAATACATTGTGACTCTCTGCCAACCCAGTCCTCCCCGAAGAGGCCACTTGGGTGCATTTTCTTGAGCAAAACAGGCGCGTGGGTGCTTGGCCTGGCCGCTCCCGGGACGCACAGCGGTGGGAGAGTGGGGCCCGCGGCCGCAGAGCCCTGCCCGCCCGCCTCTGGGCTTGAGGCCTGCAGGGAGGAGGTCGGGCGCGCCTGCCCTGCAGCCGCCGCCAGCTCCAGCTGCGCGGGGGGCGAGGGTTCTGTGACAGCGGCCGCCGGCTCCCGAGCTCTGACCCTCCTAATGAAATATTTTCTTTCTTAGTGATGTTGCAGCCTTTCGATTATGACCCCAATGAGAAAAGTAAACACAAGTTTATGGTTCAGTCTATGTTTGCTCCGACTGACACTTCTGATATGGAAGCAGTAGTAAGTACTGAATGCTTCTTACTCTTTTTCAGCGATTGGAAAATGACGCGGCTCGGAACCGCGGGTGCATGCACTGAAGTGTGAAGGAACTGCTCTTGCGGGTCGGGTGCGCCAGGGAGGCGCGTGCTCTCCCTCACCTTCGTGGATTTTCTGAAACTTTGATTTTCACTTTGCAAAATAGCATTCTTCTCTGACCTTTGTGTCTCGGTTGGCTTCAGCCGTTCCTTGTTCTGGTGGGTTGTATCTTGAATGGTTTGAGGATTCTCCTGCTTCCCCCTCTCATCACCCCACCTTGTCTGTTGTGAGGAATGTCGTCCCTCCCCCCCTCCCCCCAACTGCACTGAATGCTAAACGCCCTGCAGCCTGTGGGCTTTTCTCCTGCTTGGTGCTGGTTTTTCCTTTCCCCTGGGTGGAGCATTTTTTTTCATGCTTTAACAGTGTCTAATGCACTAATTTTGTTAACAGCCAGAGGACTTCATTTTCATTAATAAGTGATGCGATACTGATTTTTGTGGGAAAAAAGGTGATAGTACCACTTCTCCCCAAGCCATCTCTGGCGCATTTGGGTAACTCAGCAGGCTCTGGGCACCGTGCCAGAGGACCTCTGGCCCACGGTCTGGACAGGCGGCGGACGCCCCTGCCCCGCCCCCGCCCGCTGCGGGTGCGGCCCAGGCAGCCTTCTCCGGCCCGGAGGGCGGCGCTGGAGGGGCGCTCAGCTTCGGGAGAAGGTTGCCTTTGGGCTGTGGTGTGGTGGGTGAGAACAGGCCGTCTGTCCACACCGTGTCGCCGAGGCCTCGTGGCGCTTGCTCACTTCCCGGAACGGGACGCGTCAGTTCCCGCTGCTCGGCCTGGTGACAGCTGGGCTGGGGCCGGTGGGAAGCGGGGGGCTGCCTCTGTGGGGGTCAGTCACCAGCGCATGCGGGCGGGTGCCCAGTGTGGAGGGCCCGCGTGGGCCCGCGTGGGCCCTTTGACTCAGATGGGCCTTGCTGGACGCTTGGAAGTAGGCAGAGGCGCAGACCTACGCGTGGCCTCTGACCTGTTAGACTAAACCTAGCCACTGGTTTTTCTTTATTCTTAAAATACTTTTGTTTTGTTTGGATACATGAGTTGAAAATGTAGCGTGGTCCCTGCTCATTTTCACCTGGTCCGAGCTGGCCAGGCAGCTTGTTGCCACAGGGGCTTCGCTGCTTCACCGCATTCCTGCTGCTGGGCGCGACCGAGGCAGGCCCCCGCCCCGGCGCCTGGCCGACACCGCCCGGCCGCCTGTTCCCCGGGACTGGGGTTGAGCCTGCAGCCCCTGGGCTGCAGAGCCCGCATTCTGGGTTCGCCCAGCCACTGCCCCGAGAGGACGTGTCCTCGTTGAGATGTTTCTGGGCCCGAGCCCCTACTGGCGCTGCCCTGCGTACGTCCACTGGCATTTAGTGCCAGCGGCACCAGGGCGGGTAGGCTGGGAGGCCGGAGGCTGCCAGCTCTCTGCCCGTGGTGATGAGGGGGCTGTGACCTCCGAGGTGAGTGTGGCTGCCCTCGGGGGTCTCGCCTCCAGAGCCTGGAGCGCCTGCGGTGGCCCTGCGCCGTGGGCACATGCTCAGCGCAGAGGGCAGTGCCGTGGCTGCCTGCCTGTGATGAAATGCTCCTCTGTCTGTATCTTTGGAATGGCACTTGCTCGGGCAGGGCGTGGCGTGGCCAACGAGGTGCCCGTGGCTAGACACGTGGACTGCTGCCCGCTTCTGACTCTTGGTCCCTTTGCCCCTCTCGCCGCCTCCTGCATGACCCTGGGGTGCGCCCGGGGCGTTCGGGCCTTCCCCCGGACGTGACCTTCCTGCGTGCTGCCCTGCGGGCTCAGGCCACTCGGGCTCCTGCCCTCTGCCGGCAGGAGCGCGTCACCCCAGAACGTGCGCTTAGCGCGGAGGGGGCTCCCCCCACGCTCTGCCCAGGCAGCTGCGCGGCAGACACCGCTCGCCGGTCAGGGCGTTGGGGGTGGCGGCGGCGCGGTTCCCAACCTGCCCCCCCGCGTGCCCCGAGGAGCAGGCTCTGCTTTCTTCGGGGGCCCCTCACCGGCGGCACCCACACTCAGGGGAAGGCTCCTCTTCGCTCCGTGGCACTTCTCCTGCCCCTGTGCTCCCCACAGGTGGGGAACTGGGGTGCACTGCCCAGTGGGGGGTTGGGGGGTCACGGCGACCAGACCGGGCTGGTGAAGCATGACAGATACTCAGGAGTGCTAGTTGCTGACCCTGTCGTGTTAGAAGTACTGAAATCTCAGCAGGCTGGAGTTGTGTTGGATACACATCAGAGCTTTCTCGTTAAGAGTGTTTTTCTGAAATTGTCAGTTATAGGAAATGATTCTTCCAGCAGCTTTATAATATCCTGATTATTAAATTTAAATTGTTTTAGTGGAAGGAGGCAAAGCCGGAAGACCTTATGGATTCAAAACTTAGATGTGTGTTTGAATTGCCAGCAGAAAATGATAAACCAGTAAGTATGTTTACAGTTAACAATAATTGAATGTTGCAAGCTGATACTTATTTGCATACCATCTCCTGCAAAACCAAGATTTATGTTGGCAAATTATTTTCCTTCCTCTGATGTATGAAGAAAAAAATAAGCTGAAGTCAACAAATATGTGGGCTTTTATAAAATCAGCCTTTGAAAGATTTGCAGAAAGACTGCTAATTGAAACAATTTTTCGCCTTGAAAGTGCAACCTGTTGGCTGTTGAAGTGTCATGAATCCCGGGAGCGCCTGTCGGGAGGCGCTCTGGGCTGCGCTCACGCAGCGGGGAGGCTGAACGGGAATAATTTGCCGCCTGTCCGGGGTGGCGCTGGGAGGGCGGCACGGCCCTGGTGCCGCCGGTCAGCTGCCGCCCGCCGCCACTCTCAGCACCACCTGTCTCCTGCCTTTAGGTTGGGGTTTCTCGGCCCGCACGGCCTTTCAGGGGAGGTGGCGGGCTGGCCTCCTGGGCTGTGGGGTGTGCGGCGCCCCGGGCCTCTGCACCAGAAGCCGGTGGCACCCACGTGACAGCCAAAGGTCTCCAGACATTGTCACAGGTGCCCCGCAGCCGCCCGTTGAGAGTGGCCCCCATGCTGCCAGGGGCGAGGGAAAGGGGGGACTCCTCCAGGCCGCCAGCCTGGCTTCCTGGTGAAGACGGGCCAGCCTCCGGGCCTCCCCTCAGCTAGTCGGGAAACTTAAATGGGGTTGAAAATGCATGCAGAATATCAAGCCCCCTGGCCGTCAGTAGCGGGCTGGGAAATGGCCACCCGAGACCCCGGCTGCAGGGCTGCAGCTATGGACTGTGGACGTGTCACGTCTACTCAGCGTCCTCAGTGCAGTGGCCACTGCTGTCGTGAGCCCGTTCCGAGTGGACGGAGGCGTGCGTGTGTCCTGGCTCTCTGTCTCGGTGAGGGCCCTTCCGCAGGCAGCAGCTAGGGTCTGGTCTGCTCTGCCCCAGCCGTGTGGGGCGGGCCCTCCCCCGGGCCTTGCCCTGCTCACCCGGGCAGGGCCGGGCAGGGCAGTGGACTAGGAGGCTCTGGGCTTCTCTCGCCGGCCAGCCGAGGCTGCCCCTGCAGCGGCGCCCCAGCCGCCCTCCGCCCCCACCCAGCAGCCGCCCTGGGGTGACCCCGCTGGTGTGGTGGCCCTGGAGCGAGTCTTGCATGCGGGAGCTGGCTGGCGTGACCGAGGCTCTGACCGACACGCGTGCTGGTCGCTGTCGGCCGACCCCGCTGTCGGCCCCTCTTCGTAGTTCCCGGCCCAGTTGCTTTAGCTGGCTGCGCCGCCGGGCAGGGGGTCCGTTTCTAAGCTGAGCGGCCCGTTTGCCGCGTGGACGCAGGGCCAGCACCCGTAGTGCTGGCCGCGGGCCGCTGGGCTTGCGCCGAAGGCCCGTCGGTACCTGGCGTGACCCGGGCTTCCGTTTATTCCTGAACAGCATGACCTAGAGATAAATAAAATTTTGTCCGCAACTGCGTCGAAGACAGAAGCGCCGGCGGCATCGAAACCCCAGAGCTCTTCCCTGGACGACACCGAGGTCAGGAAGGTGATGGAGCAGTGCCGGCGGCTGCAGGGGGAGCTGCAGCGGCTGCGGGAGGAGAACCGGCGCTTCAAGGTAGCGCGTCCGGGCGGCGGGCGCGGGCGGCTG